ACTGGAAAAAAAAATGAGTAAGGCCCAGATGTATCCTTTCCCAGAGAGAGTGGGCGAACTCTTAGGTTATCCTGCTAGTGTTGAACTGTAAACTATTGGTCTGCCTCTATTCCTAGTGTCATGTATTGTCATTCCGAGATATCCTGAGGTAGCTGTGAACATATTAGCCCATATACTGAGGGTTATACTGCACTAGACAGTGCCATGCAGATATTCTTGAACGTGTTTTGTATGCGCTAGCTCTGCAGCAGGAAGCAATATACTGTATTGTTATGGCACTGACTCCTTCTCTACAGAGTTAATTAGGCTGGCTGTCATATAAATACACTATATATACGATTTCTGGTTCTAGATGAGGGGGTGCAAAGCTAGCCCATATTATCTCTGCATGGTATTGCTTTGAACCAGGTTGGACATACCCAAAGAGGTTAGTGTCTGCAATCACCAGGCTGTAGAAACTCTTCTCAAATTTTCCAAATTAAAATCATACATCTCAGGAGAAAGAACGAAGAACTGAACCTGAGGGCTCATGCAAAACAGCTATAAATGCCACATTAAGTTAGGATATTAGTGGAACTGCACAACATACCAGATAAAATAGCCCTGTAAAGACTAGCGCGGTATGAGCAGACTTCAATACAATTGTGTGTTTCTTGGCCATGTAAGATCTAAGACAGAGGGCTGTCACATATTCCCTTCTGTAAACACAGCCAAATTTGTTTTGCTATTTATATCTGACCCCTGTACTGGATTACATGCCAGAAATGATTGCCAAGAAAGATATAGTCACCCTGTGACTGCAATTTTAAATATAAGGAAAATTTTATTAAAAAACAAAGAAACAAACAAAAAACCCCTTAGAGACTTAGTGTAAGGAAATGCTTAGGAACACCAAGAGAGTGTACAGACACAATTTATACCATTGTACAAAGCCAAAAAAACCCCCTTTTGGCATGAGAACTAACAAAACTATGTTACTGTCCATGAAGGAAAATGATGGGACGTAGGCCATATGGTGCATATTGTAGTACATGTGGATGATGTCATTCTTCAGATGCTGGAGGAGGTCACTGTACCTGCGGAGGAAGTGCTGACAGGATGTTTATATGGGATTAAAGTAAGATATTATTTGGACAAATGTGAGTGTGTAAGTAGGAAACCACTTCACTCTTTATCATTATTATTATTATAATTATTATTATTCCTTCATTTTCTTTTTATTGCAGCCACTTCCATATGCAACTAATTCTCCCAAGAAATTCTTAACTATGCAAGAGTGGTGAAACATTAAACACATGAATTGGCTCCATACACATCAGCCAAATTTGTATAAGCATCAACTTTTGTGACCCCTTTCTATATTTACCTTATTTAGGAAAATGTAACCTTAATTGCTATGGTTCTTTGGCTACATTTTCATGTTCCAAATAGTTTTATAAATTTACTCTGTATTTAATTGTCAAGCGATTGCTTTTTTAAAAAGTGTAAAAATGTCACTTTATAGAGCATTATTAGTGCTGTTATTCAAAGATTTTATTGAAGACTTGTTGAGAATGATTTTTAACTCTATTCACTTACCAGTCCAATGCTTACTGACATATTGCCCTCAAGTAGTTACAGTATATAATAAAACATGCAAATGTAATGATAGCTTTGTTATAGATGATGAGTTAGAGGGAAAAAGAGTTTTGCAGTAATTGTAATACCTATAATGAACCATAATGTTAGTTTCCCCCCATTTCAGTTTGTTAATTTATTTATTTAAAACATACCACTGGAAAAATGTTGAAGGCAAGATCAGAATTTTAATGAAGATCTTGTTCTGCTTCCAGAGAAATATACAGAGTGATGATGTGAATAATCTGCTGAGTTATGTTGGGATGTAACACAACACATGGAATAAAACAGAGTTATTGTGTGACATCTAATGGATTTTTTTGATATATCACTAGAGCTGGTCCATTTATACTTTGCAAATTGATTATCTAATGAAGTCCACCTTTTTTACTGTTCTTGAACCCTGATTCTTGTAAATGTGTTCCCCGTTGAAAACTATTTTATAAACAAATTATAAAAACAAGTTGCATACAATCTGGTGTTTGTAAGTGATTTACTTTGGCTCTTTGTTGTTCATTAGCAGTGGATGTGACTGGTGACCTAAATGATGTAGTATCATTTCTCCCCTCCAATAAATTGATTGAGATATTTTAAACAGAAATTTGCAAGTAATGTGTAGTGAAAGCCTTGAGGAACAATTGAATGCTCACATGTAACTTTAGGTAGTTACATATGCAATGGCCAGTCCCCAAAACCTTCATGTGACCCCTTTTACACAAGTATTCACAAACAGGGAAAGGGCATCTTTTGCAAGTAGTTGAACCAAACTACTGTTTGCAATTTGAGTGTATGTCTGTGACCCCTGAATGAAATCTTGCCCCCTTAAATGCTATGCCTAATTAACGCTGGCTTCAATGGGGCCAGGATTGCACCTATTGTTGTTTCCATATCTTTCCTAATAGAAGATATTAGCACCATGAAGCAATACTTTCAGTACCAGGTACGTATCAATGGTAAGATGCTGCTTTGGTTCTAGAAAATACTTAAGATTTCACAAGGGAAATTGAAAAGATTTCTGTAGCACTTGACATTTAAAATTAGAGCCTTTATCCTGTGCATGGGTAGAGTTAGGAACCTCTGAAGGGGATCCACAAAAGCCAGGATGATGTCAGAGTTTCTTAATGGCAGTTAGCTGCCAAGCCAATGGGAAATAGCCAGTAATAGACAGTAATGTGCCTTAAATTACCATATTTACCTGAATTCAAGACAAATTCAAATCTAAGATGACCCCAGAATAATTAGATTGTATTAATGGGAAATACATACATTTGTTATGATTTACCATGTATACAGGGCCATCTTAAATGCATCCCCTTCACCACTGCAGTGAGGCAAGCAGTGGTGTGGGGGCAGGTGACAAGGTGGCAGGTTGTAGGGGAGTTGAGTGGACTGACCTTTGCTGCCTGTCCCCCCACACCATTTGCCCTTCCTGCCACCTCCCCCCACTTCTCCCCTTGCTGCTTGCACCTCTGGGATCCTGACCCCTGCTATTTTCTCCTCTGCTGTTTGCACTCCTGCTGTCTGCCTTCTGCATGGTACTTGTACCTCCCCTGTACTTCTCCCCCATTATTTGCCCTTAGTGCTATTCTCCCTGTGTTTGTGCCCCTGGTGCCTGCACCGTCTAATGCCTGCCTGCTCAGTCATTTGCCCCATTCCTCGCTGCCACTTACCCTCAGTCATGGCTCTCACCCCACGCCGGTCCCCACCCAGCCAAGCAGCAAATGTTGTGATGAGGTAAGCAGCAGCAGGGACTGGGGCTGGGGAGCAAGATATGGGGTGGAGCAGGGAGTGGGGTGCAGGCAGCAATAGCAGAGTTGGTGCAGAGCAGGGGCTGCAGAGAGCAGAAGCTACTGGTCCATCTCCAACCTGGAGCATGAGCCCAAGCCCAGGCTGGGGCCAAAGCTGGAGCCACAGCAGCTGTCTGCCATCCCACCTTGCACTAAAATCCAAGACAAGGGTTTTTCCCCTCCATGCTAAATGGGGGAAATTTTTTTTATCTTGGATTGAGTAAATACTGCATGTCCCTCTCTAGAACTTGGGCACTGTACTCAGTACATACAGAGAGGAGCTCCCTACCTTTCAGGATTCTCAACCCATTCCTGACATGTATTAAACCCTTTTTATTCACAAACTAAGCAGAGTTCCCTTCTCTTTTTCAAAACACAGCTGCCAGAGGAAGGGGTGGTAGTGCCTCAACACCATTTGAACAACATCTTAGTAGGCAGAACACTTATGCAAGATACAGAGGGCCTGGTTAAATAGTATTTTTTATTTGAAGCGATTCAATCCATTTTCTCCCATTAGAGTGAACCAACCACTAGGCTACCAACCATTCTGGGAAAAGGTAGGTTTTTCATGGCCTTTTTTGAAGTTGTTCCGCTTTGCACAGGACATATGAGTATTCATTGGGCCAGAGAGATAGAGAGTGTGAATAGCATGACTCTAGTCTAGTGGACAGAGCACTCCCTTGCCATGGTAGAGGTCTGAATTCCAGTTTCTTTGTGAATGACCATTTATGGGTTCCCCCCCCCCCATTTTGAGTTCCCTAACCAATACGCTTATAGAGTTGTGTTTACTCTTACAAACATTTCTACAGGGCCTGGATTTCATCAATGCAACATGCAAAATGAATCACAGTAGATTAAATTTGATCAAAATTGGATTTTGACTCTTTCTTATTCCTCGAGCAAAAATCACAGTCATCTTGACTGCAAGATCAACCTCTAAGGTTGCAACCAGAAAAAAAGATTTGCCTTTTCTTGGATCATGGAAGAATCTCTTGGGTCAAAGCATGCTCACTTCTATCACATCTATCATTCCATTTAAGATAATGGAATTGTACTTGCATCAGGATTTGACCCTTGCCAAAGAATCTAATTATGAACCCAGATGAATAAGATTGGTAATACTAGAAGTACACCACCAATAGCTGAAGTCAGTTAAACCAGTCACATAAATAATGTTTTGCAGTGCTGGCCCCTTAATGTGTTAAAGAAAATTAAGTACAATATTTTATAAAATTAAATGTAATGTGTATTTACAAACTAGACATCTCTTCTCAGTGAATAACATAAGGATCCTGTATGCCATTCTAGTTCACAACACCTGTGATGAATTATTTGTAAATATAATGAATTACATTACTAGGGACATGTCAAATTATATGTTGATAATGATTTTTGGATGCATCTGCTATGTAATTGTTCCCAACTGACGTGTATTCATCTTCACCTGGCATTATTTTCCTGATTTTGGGGGGTTTTATTATGCATTTTCATTTCTATCATAATTGTTACAGTGATCCCTGTTCCTTTGTTCTAATCAGGTCCTTTTAATGGTGTTGCACATTCTGAACAAAAGAGGATGGGGAAAACACAGAAGGCTATTGGCAAAACAAAACACGGGGCTTTATTTGTTACTTTGTAACTGCTTGTTTGGCCTCGGAAGGTTGGGTGGTGTTGACAGGGACCAGTTGTTTTCCTGAATGTATCTGCCAGCTGCTGCAGTTGTGTATTCTGTAGCAAAGTAGGCGAATAAATGTTAAAGGCTGTTCTGATGACAGACAGGTACATGCTGCTTTTTACTTCGTGTATCTGAGATTTTAAAAAGGTAAATAAAGCAAATTAGTAGCATAAGACAGTATGTCTTTCACAACACAGTGTTATAGAAATTCTCTCAGTGAAAATATCTGTCATCAGTTTATGCTTACATTGAGCAGCCCCATATTAATTGTGTTTACACAAACTTTCTGTATAATATACTGTTTACCATCCAGAGTTCATTTGTTCTGTTTGTCTCTCAATAGCATTATTTGAAACTGCTGCCTAAAAACAACTGATCAAACACTAGACCCATGTATACAGAACTTGGGGGGTTTTATAGTCTGCCTTTTTTTGAATTCTGTGAATCATTTAGAACATCTAACCTGAAACTTTTTTTTTACCTTTAAAAAGGTCTTTATTATTTATTCTCCACTTTATTCTTCTTTGACTACACATTGACAAGTAGCAGGTGATGCTCGCGCTCTCTCTCTCTCTCTCTCTCTGTCAGTATTAAAATATACTGCACAAAAAATTAGGCACAATCAAAGTGAGACAGTTTTTGAGGGCGTTCAGTTCCAACATTTTATTTTGGCGTTCAGTTCCAACATTTTATTTTTTCTAGGTTGGCAAGACAGCACTGAACTTTGTATCTAGATGTGAACTTTTTTAAAGTTCAAGTATGCGTGATTCAGTGAAATGGGTGTGGGCCCATCTCTGATAAAAAAATGTCAGACACAAATTTTAAAACCATTAAAACTGTTTTCTCTTCCCATACTCACCTCCTCCACCGTCTAATATAATAATAATTACATAATTTAGTGCTATTATACAGCTAAATATTCTACTCTCCTTTGTGGAAAAAATTGTAAAAATCTGGTACTAGTTGAGCAGCCTGATGCTGGAACATTAATGAGTGTTTTATAATTTTATAATGATTTCCCTTTGACATTATATTAGATTTCTTCATTTTGTCCACCAGTACCATGAGCCTCCACTGTAAGCATTTATATAATTTTCCCCTTTCAATGCATTCAAAATATTTGGCTTTCTAAGTCTGGGATATAATGCATATAAGTGATCTCTCTAATCATCTGCTGAGTGTTTGTACTTAGAATAGGTTTTATCTCCTGTCTTGAAAGTTTGATACCAGTGTTACTGCATGCAACATTGTAGCTCTTGTTCATAGCATCAGGACTTGCTTTCTTTAATTGTGAAAAGTGAAAAAAAGATAGTTTTGATTCCATTACATAGAGTTGTTCATTTACTTTCATCTGTACAGGACTAGAGAAAGCTTCCATAAAAACAGCTGTGTGTGAATGCAGCTTATGTTGCATCCTATTCGCATTAAATTGCTGAAAAGTATCCATTATGCTAACTATAATGTAAAAAGCAGATGCTTATTTATAAAATTAATAATAACAATAATCTACTTTGTGCATATAAAATGCCTTTTAGCAATAAAGTACTTTCAGAAACATTTACAAATTAAACTTCAGGACAAAATGAGGATAAATTCTGTTCTTTGTTATATTTGCATAAACCAATGAAATTTATTCTATATACAGGTTGGCACCACTGAACGAAGAATCTGGCCAAATGTGAGTTACAAAAGTAGGAGCAATTTTTACAGCTGTAGCAATAGAATTTTGAGATGCTCTCTTTTCAGTATATGTTTAAATCAGAAATGCAAATGTAATTATTTTTTTTATCAATGCCAGTCACATTGACAGTATCTCTGTTATAATTAAAGCAATATATTTTGTATTCATATTTGCATTCATATTAAAGCAGCAATTTTCATCTGTACTTATAATTTACAGAATTTTTCCTGTTCAAACTTTTTTCCCTCCATTTGTACCCTTTCAGACTCAAAAGTTATGTGGACATATCATTATATAATCCTGCTTATTCTATCATTTGTCCAGGTAGTATCAAGGCATAGGCATATAAAGTAATACATATTTAACTTAATAATTCCTTGGATTAATATTAATCCAGTGGATAATGTATTTATCACCAGTCTGAGGATGCAGGACTTCTAAAATAATGAATTACCTTATCCATCAGGATACAAAAATAATCCCTAATTTCTGTTTATTTGGGAATCTTTCAGCTGTTGATAATTTTCCCCAACTATTTCCAAAAAATGACAAAAAGAAAAATCAAGTGGCGTAGTTTACAAAAGCTATAATGAAATAAATGCCACTTTCTTGATTACACTAAACCAATTAGATTTAATTTCTTTTCTGTTTCCATACATAAGCAACAGCTGTACATGCCATCCGTGGGTAATTAATTGCTTCCAACTGTCTGCCAATGAGAGTGGTATTTCTTTAAATTGGTGATACAACACAACATGTGCCTGTAAATACATCAGGGCACATCATATCACACAACATATTCAGACACAACAGAATGTACATGTTACTGCAATGACTTAAGGGCAAAACATTTCTCTGAAGCCTGTGCTACAGAACTGTATTCTGTTCACTGCACTTGCTCCTTCTGTAGAACTACCATGGATGCCAAATGAATTCAGTCCATGGAAGCAGAGATCTGCTATACAGGTAACAAAGCACACATCAGAACTAAAAAGACGTGGCACACTTTTATTCAGCCACAATGGAGCTGAAAAAAGAACCTCTCTTTGGTAACAGCTGCTCTTGAGAGATGATTCATCCCAAGAGAAGGGCAAGCAGAGCTGTTACCTCTTGGTGCCCCTTAAGGTGCTACTGAAGGAGACTGGCTTTAAAAATAGTTGAAATTTAAGAAAAGCCATGGTGGTGTTGGCTGTCTGGGAGTGTAGAAACAGTATATTCCCTGACCCTTCAAACTTTTGTGGCAATGTTGTTTGACTGCTGGTCCCCCAATGGAAAAGATACATATTTTTCTCTTAGTGGACTAGCACAGCCTGGGGCTCTGCTGACATAATTGGACTATCTTGTGTGGCTTGTTACAGAAGTGGGTTCATGTGATACAAGGACAGCAAAATAGCTACATGTTTCATGGCATACAATAACTTCCTTCCTTCCATTTTCAAAAAATTCACATCAGTCCACGCACATGGCATTTAAGCACTTTAATACTTGCACATGTAGATGTGAGCCTAAATTGCCTTAATGTGCATTAAACTAATGCACCTTAAATTTAAGCATGCCTAAATGCATGTGTAGACATGCCCATTGTTCTTTAGACTTAGGCCATGAAGAGTTATAGCTTTTACGTTTTTTTTTCTTTTAAATGGATTTTCAGTTGTTATATGCTATGCATATGTATATAACTACCTTTCTCTATGGCTTTATATGCGTACATATGTTTGTATGTATGTAGGTATGTATGTATAGATATATGTAAGTAATAAAAGGCAAGGCTCTTCATAATTGCAGTTAGATTAATCAGGATTAAGTACGTTGAAGATTTTTGAGTCATGCCAGTTAAAAACAGAGGTAGACAAAAAGAAAATTAGACCATGAAATAAAATCTAGACATGCTTAAGGGTCAGTACAAATACAGTGTGGATCTGTGTAGGATGTTACCAGTTTTGTACAATTCTCTTTGTAAATCACATCAGCCATGTGCTTTCTGTAGGTTGTATGTGAATTATTGCTTTCTTTAATATTGTGGGTATTGTTGATTATTACAAAGCTATTAAACCCGTGTGAATGTAAATATGTCTTCTACTTACCATTTTGCATTTACAGAGCAGACACTGTCATATAAGCACCACTGATAAAATATATTGTGACAGCAAAAACAGTAATACACAAGGTTTTGGCATGGAAGGAATTTGGTTCAACATTCCTTTGTCTGGTTACTCTATGCAGTATATTTTCTGTCTCTAGAGTCAAATGTTGCACTTTACCAGGCAATGCAAGTTTTTATCTGGCATCCCTAACTCAGTAGGTTTAAAGGCATGTAATTATACCGCTTTCACCCTGAGTCTTTTGGTCCTGTTTCTATAAAGAAAACCTATATAAAAGCTTTCTATAAAAATTGTATAAACATGATCAAAAAATCATATGTTTCAAAACAAAACTTTCTATAAAAATTTTCAAAAATTTTCAAAATAACATTCCGGATTAAGTTTATTAGTGTTCAGGTGTCTGTTGTTGTCTTGATGCCTCAGCCACCTAACTCAAGGTTTCTCCTTTACTATAAGCAATAAAACAAATCTCTTTCTAGCCTCTACTACAGGCTTTGAAATATCAGTCTTCTTGAGACTTCATTTAAACCAAAAAATGTAACCAATATTTGGTAGTTAGCTTATATCGCTTATCTGTATATTAAATATAGTACATATGCAAATATAGTACATATGCACAATAAAAATATATTCACCATCTGTAAATTAAATTCTATGTACACATATAAACTACTGCAATTTAGTTATTTACTGTGTACTACAAGGTCTATAAAATGCCACTTTCTAAGAATACAACTGAGGCTTAAGTCAGCATTTTTATGATATCATCTGTACTGGGAAAACATTAAAGGCTCAATATTTAATAAACATAATAAACATCCCCGTGAAACAAATTGTTCATAAACTACCTGTTTAATTTTTCAGGGTTCCTGAACCACATATTTTCTTATTAGTTGTAATCCTGCTGGGTTGCAGGATAGATAGGGCCTGTCAGGGATAGAATATAATGTAGCGGTTTTATGAATTATTTCTGTGAGGAAAAGCCTATTACAGCTGACAAGAGGATGATGATATTAGCCCATCATCATTCAGATGGCACCACCCTTCCCCCTTTCATCCATCAGACCTCTTGTATGGAGGCTGAAAGCCATGCAGTCTTTGCATAGCCAACACAAAGACAAATACTGCTCTTTTTCTGAGTCCATGAAACATTTAGTATTTCATTTTGAATCATGGCAGATGACAGTAACAAATGGCCTAATGAATCTCCCTTATTGTTCCTTGTGAATCTGAAGATGAGCTAAAAGTAAAATCTCTTTTTTTTGGACACATTGGTTCTGTACTGAAAGGTTTTTCCAGCACTCTAAATAGAATCCCCGTATTACTGAAAATCAACCAATAAACAAGC